ATCGCCTTTGCCGACCTCGGCTACCACATTTTGCTCGAGAAGCCCATGGCCGTGACCAAGGACGACTGCATTCGCATCCATGCAGCCGCCACGCGCAACAACGTCTTGCTGGCCGTGTGTCATGTCATGCGCTGCACGCCGTACTCGCTCAAGCTGCGCGAGCTGATTGCAAGCGGCGCGATCGGCAAGGTGGTCAACATCCAGCACATCGAGCCAGTCGGCTTTTGGCACCAGGTGTGCACACTATTGTCTATACCTGTACACGTGAACGACACGACCTAGGTGCACTCGTACGTCCGCGGCAACTGGGCAAAGCAAGCGTCGTCGACGTTCATGCTCATGGCCAAGAGCTGCCACGACATTGATTACCTACAGTTTCTCATGCAAAAAGACGTGCGCGCCGTGAGCTCGTTTGGGTCGCTCTACCACTTTCGACAGGTTGGTGGATATGATGCACAACATTGTATCATAGAACTAGGAGAACAAACCGCCGGGTGCGACCGACCGGTGTCTGGACTGCCCAGTGGAAGCGAGCTGCGTCTACTCGGCCAAGAAGATGTATCTCGACGGTCCACCGCAAGTCGCTGCGAGCCCCGTCGAGATCGAACACTGCGACGGATCACGGTCCCACACTATCCCAAGCTCTGGCGCATGGTACGCTGGTCACCGATCCGCGGCTGTTGGGCACAACACCTGGCCACTCACGGTCCTGCACGGTACAACCTTTACTTCGCTTGGTATCAAATGGCATTTCATCGACTATGTCTAGCGCAACCAACGGTGGCCAACATCACGCACGAGCTAGAGACCGGACGCTTTGGCCGCTGCGTCTACGCCGGTGACAACGACGTCGTCGACAACCAAGTCGTCAACTTTCAGTTTGTCGATGGCGCAACCGCGTCCTTTAGCATGGTCGCGTTCACAGAGCAGCAGGTTCGTGTTCTTGAGTCTACCAAACCAAAGACAATATTTCCATCGATGCCTAGTGTGTCCGCACCACGCGCGTCTTTGGCACCCACGGCGAGCTCACGGGCAACGGATCGAACATCCGCCACTTCGATTTTCTCAGCCGCAAGATCACCGAGATTACGCCGGCGGGGCTGCCGTCCACATCCAAGGTCAAGGGCCACGGCGGCGCTGATTTCTTCATGATCGAAAACTTTGTGCACGGCGTGCGCACGAATGATGCGAGCGTCCTGCTGACGGGCGCCGACGAGAGCTTGGCGTCGCATCTCATGGTGTTTGCCGCCGAAGAAGCGCGCTTGACCGATGCGGTCGTGCACATGACGAGTGTGTAGGCAAGCCAATATTGTCTTGAATTCGTGTATTACTATCTGGTATTCTTGCATGCGACGAGATTCGTTTTGTGCGATGTATGTGTCTCATGTCTGCTACTTGCATTAAAATGGCGTTCGATCGTGTGTGGTGTCGAGAGTAGGGGTTCGGGATCTAGATTTGCGGTGGTCGATTGAATCCGAACACGATCTGGATTCTACTGAATCTAGATTTTCCGGATACCGGATGCACGCCGCGCCAGTCACCAATCCGGTTTGAGGCAATGGCGGGCGTGGCAACGTGGTCGAGGTCGCTCGAGGTAGAGTTCATCGCGGCCATCCGCGTCGTTGCGCGCGACCCGCGGTTGATTGCGACGAGCGGCAAGAACTTGCGCGCCACCGGCTGGAGGACCGTGCTCGCGACGCTCGGCCCACACGCGCCAACGCTGCGGGACATTGACCAACTGCGCTCCAAGTGGAAGCGCATCAAGTCCGACTACACCGACTACGGCTACCTCTTGAGCCTCGAGCAATTTGAGTCGGGCCTCACCGATCGTCGGTGGGCGGACCTAGACGCCGAGCACAATGGTGTGGAACACTGCGAGGTTCGAAGCTGAGGTCACTTGTGCATAGGCAAGCAGCGCCTCTCGCGCTTTCGGTACGAGCCATTTGCGCACTACGATGAGATGGTCATGGCGCTGAGCGAAATGCGCACATTCAAGGGCGGCCTTCGCACCGCCAGATCGGCCAACGCGACGACCGGCGACGACGACAGCCGCGATGACGACAGCCAGGACGACGAGGAAAGCGACGTGGGCGCCGACGATCAAGAAATCCAGTCCGAGGAGGCGCCGGGTAATGATGCCGAGACGCTTGCTGCAGCGCCGCCAAAGACCCCATCGCCAGTGAGGAAGCGCAAGCGGACTGAAGATGACGATACGAAGCGGCTGTTGAAAGACGCGGTGAATGCGCTACAGGGCATTGAAAGGTCGCTCGAGAGACTTGCGACAGCGTACATGCAGAGGAATTCACTGCCAAGAGCCACCGCGGGCGAGGATGTCCACGTATAGTAGCAGCTACTGGGTACTAGTCGGTACTAGAATTCGATATGGCAACAAGCGTATGGACCTGGTCTATTGTTCGAGTGAATCCTCTGCTGCAATGGGTAATCGGTGTGACCTTAGCGTAGAAGAATCGCCACGGTATATTGTGCGTCCGCATTTCGCCTACTATGTAGGTACACCGGTTTCGGAGTAGTACTCGTTGCTCAGCTCCGCCAACTTCAATTCCAGAACCGTGATCAAACCACTTTTTACCCCACTTCATTTCCCATCATCTTCTTGGCAAGCGTGGATCACGGAATGAACTGCGGTTCTCTGCGATAAACCTGCAGCGATGTTGTCGTCCTGCCTCGACAGACTCATCGTCACGCTTGCCGAAAC